ATCCCTTTTCCTTTTTCACTTCACTGTATCTTTATTTCCCTCTTTCTTTCTCTCATTTTTTCTTCTATGTTAAGCATTGGGACACGTACGTACCTAATTAATCATATCCAATTCTTCATATCATGCATGTGAAGGAGTGTGAACGGATTTCACTTGTCATTAATAATTTAATCTCACACGATTATATCTTCTTTAGTACTACCTCCGATTTTTAATATAAGACCCTATTTGATTTTTATTTTGATCCTAAATATAAGATCCCAATCCATTTTGTCTCTCATATTTATACATTTTTTTTCCAAAGGCCCTTCTAACAATGATAGTTCTAGTCAATACACTTGATTAGCAAGGATATTTCGGGAAAGATAACACCTATTTAGGACAAATAACTAACTCAACTTACTTCCTTAATCTCCTCAAATTAGTCAACTGGCTCTTATAATTAGGACCAGAGGTAGTAATATCTACCCTGCCCCACTTCCTCAAAAAACTGCAAAACGAAAGGGAGAATTATAGTGAAAAAATTGTTAGGGTTTTCTGGCTCAAATGATTACTAAACTCTATACTCTCTCTTTCAAAAAATTTTAACGTGTAAAAAGTTTTTTTTTTCAACGTGAAGTCCTGAGTTTCAAACTTCAACAGAAAATATCATATGATGTATTCTCTCATCCTACAAAAAAGTTTTTTTAGTCCTATTTATTTATGATGCAGAGAAAAAAAAGAAATCTTTTATATAAATATATAATTTATTATTGTGTTGATTTGTTCTCATGTAGTATAATTTGTATTAAATAGGAATAAAATTAAAAATTTATTAAATTTTAAGGTAGAATTAATACAATTTAAGTTTTTTAAAAAAAAATTTGTATTAAACATGTTGAAAATATCTCATAAATAGGATCAGAAGAGGAGTATGGGTGTATGAGTTATGACAAAAAAAATCAAAATTTAATTAATTACTAAAAAGGTCATTAAATTTATCACTCACATAACACAAATTTATTCCTTAAACTATGAGTATTTTTTACGTAAAGTAAATTAATATATATTTTTCATTAGTAGTCCTTATAAATGAAATATTTATGAATTAGCTTTAAGTATAATGCTCCCCCGACCAAAAAAAAAGAAACTGAGTGCTACTATTTGGGAAAAAAAAAAAAGAAGAAAGATTAATCTTGCCTTCGTCTGCTAGAAGATTTATTTCGTTAAATGAGATCATTTTTTATGAATCATATATTGTTATTATACCCTAAATATCTGCATCACACAGCCAATTCTTTATTTCCTGACTATTCAAATTTTTTTCCCATGTTATTAAATAAATTCTAGTCTTGCCCCATATAATTTAATTGCTACCCCACTCACCTGGCTTCATTTTATCTTCTTTTTTTTTAAATAACGTGTTTAATAATTACAAAAAAGCAACTTTTTGGTAATTAAGGGATAATTAATTAAGTTCTAAATCCTGGAGGGATTAATTAAGGAGCATCATCATTAATAGAGAGGGTAAACTAAAAGGAATTAAACACGTGTGTGTGGGGTTAATTTGGGCGGTTCATTGTTTAATTAGCACAAGAAACTAACTTTACACGTTATAAAACGTGATTCATCTGAAAGTAAAATTAAAGTAGTTGTTATCAACTTTTATTTATATATACAAATCCGAAGGACCAGAAATAATAATAATGCCTAGAAAAAAAAATATTTCATGAGCAATAATGGAGATTGAGTAAGGCGGCATTAGAGTTATCAATTGCAACCACTTGGTCGGCGTTCCAAAGGCCCCACCTTTATGCGACTATAACATAAAGCTAGTTTGTCACGCTGCTAATTAACTAGCCAATAAATATATTTTTCCCATCTAAAAACAAAATTAAAAATTGAAATGCCCTCTTTGATCTAAGAATTATATAATTAATTTATATGTATTAAAAAATTGATTAATTATTTGTAAAAAAAATGTTTGTTGTTTTTCCCCCTAAAATATTCCTTTCAATACTTACTAGAAAACTCCCCTGCTATCTTATGCATCACCAATAGAGAGAAGCTTATTAAATAAAATAGATATAAATTGATTGATATTTTTATAATTTTATATAATTTAAACACCCGCATACAAATCTCAGACCTTATATAATGTGAAAGGTGGTGCTGTCATTGGAATAACTTGTCATTAAAAATTGATTAATATTTCAAGCGCTGTATGATAGTTAAATTCATCCTATCTTAATTTTTCTTCTGATTTTTCATTAATTTTCCATGAAGGTTGACGATTGGCTTTTGAAAATGGCTTATATTTGTTTATAATGATACCTATATATGGTTGCATCTATAATACTACCTTTGGTTTTTATTATAAGACCTAATTAATAAATTTGAAAAAATTAATAAAATTAGTTAAATTAATTATTTGTAATAAATATGTTATTTTCTCTAAAATACCCTTACTAATTATTTTTTTGATATAAACCATCTGGTATCCAACCGCGCCTTTTCTGAGCCCCAGCCTCTTTGGGCCAGTTGTACCCGAGCGATCAACTAGTCCGGATTCGGGCCGGGCGACAAGTAAAGCCCTCCCCGGTACTAGTTAGTAATACCCTTACTAATTATGTATATTAACTAAAACTATTATTTGATGAAACATTTAATATGTGAAACAAGAATAGGGACTACTTTAGGAAAAATTAATAAATATGAGAAATAAAATGGATTGATATCTTATATTTAGGACCAAATTAAAATTCAAAACAGTTATTATATTAAGGACCAGAGGTAAAGATACATAAGATAAAATAATAATACCATGACTAAAATACCACGAAATATATATATTAACACAGATATAAATAATCAAATACTCCTCCGGTCCTAAATGATATTAAAACATGTTTTAAAAGTTAAAGCCCACGATAATATTATGACAATCAAAAAACCAGAAAGGAGGCCCACATAATTGGGCCTAATCGGCGTTTAGAGGCCCATATTATATGCCCAAGGGTGGCAACTAACTGGAAAAGCGTGACCATTTCCGTTATGATGCAGCTGAGTAAAATCCCGCCAAAACGAAACGGAATTCAAGAAAACGATCATCTCAGTCTTGAAGAAGCTCACGATCTCGCCGTCAATGGCGTCCAATTTCCGACAACACGCCGTCGTTTTTATCATCATCGGCATCTTTTTCCTCCCTAGTGGCCTTAGCTCCATCCCTACTCAGGAACTAGATTCCATGCTCGACACTCTACGAATTCGAGGTTACGAACTCTTCTGCAACGCCATCGTCACCTCCGACCTCCAATTCGAGCTTCTCTCCGGCCAAAACAACACCAGAAGTCTCCGTTCCTACACCTTCTTCGCCCCCATCGATTCTTCCCTATTCTCTCTTGACATGACCCTGACGGCGTCGTCTTACATTGACACCCTCCGCTTTCACATTGTCCCTCACCGTCTCTCTATCACCAATCTCCTCAGGCTCCCTCCTGGTACTTCTCTCCCCACCCTCCTGTCTCGTCGTTACCTCAATGTTACCCAAAGCCCAGGCTCGGTCTCCGTCGGCGGTGTTTATGTTGCTTTCCCCGGTCTATTCTACGGACGGCACGTAGCTGTTCATGGCCTTAACGGCATCATCAGTCTTCGGTCGAGTGCTGCCACCGGAGCTGTCTCCGGCTCTCCAGCTGGTTTTCGTAATCGCCGGTCATCCCCTTCAAGAAGTGGTTCTAGTTCATCGGAGAGCCATTTGGTTATGGCTCCGAGTCCGACCTCCCGCCCTCCAGGGGAAAATATTCCACCAGCTAATAGAAAATCTCACGCTCCGCCACGTGAACCTAGCGATGCTAATAGCCATTTTCACGCTGCGTCGCCGTTTCATCAAGCGGTTCATCCTCCAGAGCCTGATGAACCGAATTCTCCGGATAATCTAATAATTCATGCACCGGAAAATAGCCATACGCATGCTGATTTACTCTTTAAACGAGCAGTTGACCCTCCACAATCCGATGAACCGAACCCCCTGGATAATATAATGATTCTTGCTCCGGAAACTAGCCAATCTCCTGCTAGCACCACTGAATCGCCGGCAAATATCTATGTTCTTCCGCCGGTGGTCTCGCATTCTCCAACTCCAACCTCTGAGTCACCAGGGTATCGTCATTCTTCGATATCTGTGCCACCATTAGAATATTCTGACCTGGAGGTACCGACAGCGATGAGCCCTGGTGTGTGGCTGCCGAACAAACATGGGGTTGCAATGATCGAAACCTTCAAAGGCGATTCAGATGAACTGATTAAAATGGGCCATTTTGTAGACGAAGTTCCGAAGATGCCTCAGCCGTTGATTGATGCAAAAGAAATGCCTGAAAACTATGAACCGTTGGATGGCGCCGGCCACTGTGTTGATCCAGATGTAGGGCTTGGATTGCAGCACTCCACTGATCAGTGCACGGCTTGCCGTTATGTTTGTGGGTGAAAATTTTGTTTTTGATGAGCCACAAAATTTTCTTTTGGGAGTTGGAAAAGGGGAAGCTTTTAGGGTCTGTCTTACATGATGTAAAGATTGATCATGGAATTGAAATATCAGGTTCTGGTAGTTGTTTGTCATTTGTCAATCACCACCATATCCCGAAATCTGGAAATTTTGTTCCGTAAAGTTTTCATCACCTGTTCAATTGTCAAAATATATGTGCTCGTTGATATTAAGTTCAGTAACCATAGCCAGTTTATGGATGAACATACCACAGTGAAAACTAAAAATTTTTACTTTGGCTTTACCTTATGTTACCTTAACTGTTATGTTTGATTCTGTGGCCTTGATCTGAGACTCACATTTCACCGGGCAATTCCAGTCTTAATGCTAATTCCATTATGTCATAATCTCGTTACCTATACGCTCGTAAGTTTGTATTGTTTTATTCACCTTCTGATGTTGAAATGGAAACAATAGACTTGCACATTTTGCCCACCGTTTTCTAAAATCCCCGACGTCGAAGTCCACCAATCGAAGTACATATAAGAATTGACAAGCGGATGATCTATTCTGCTTTGATAATCAAATGGCAATTCCCTTTTTACATAAATGATTGGTGATCCACTGGAACTGCTCTCATGCTCATGCCGTTTTCTTTTGGGGGGGGGGGGGAGCGTTGAAATTACAATTCTTCTAAGCCCTCCCAGCTCCCATAGATAAAGGGGAAATACGGGGTAAGAATTTGACTTGGGGGAAGATATATATAATAAGTAAAACCTATATCTGAGAAAAGAAAAGCAAAACTCTGGACAAACAGGATTATTAACGATTTTGAACAATCTAAATCCAATCTAAATTGTCAAAACTAATCTTCATCATAACCGGCATACTCCATGTCTGCATCACCATCCCCATAATCTGGTAATTCTTGTTCCGCATCTGCCGCACCATTGTCAAGTGGTACAATATTATCAGTCTCATCCGCTGCTGCCACCAACGGAGGTGCTTCTGTTATTTTTACCTTCATGGATTTCAGCTTCTCATCGCTGAAGAACGAAGAATACGGTTTGCCAACCTACAGCACCAAATTGTTAAGTTGCTCCCCAGGTTCCAGTATTCAATTCGAATCACAATAAAACATCAGAACATTTTCATTGTATTGCATGTACTAAGCATCTGAATGACTGACTACACAGAATATCACCTTGAACAAAGCGTCTCTCTTCTCAGCACTTTCCACAAGCTTATTCCATCGCTCACTCCTCCTCAATGTTGAGGCTGATCCAACCACCTATCAAAAGAACCAAGACTTAGATGACCACATTAAGATGCATGTAACAGAGGAAACTTGGGCATTGAAGGTACAATACCAACACTGCAGACTTTGCCCGAGTTATACCGACATTCATTCGCCGGTCATCCTCTAAAAACCCTATCCCTTTCTCCTTGCTTGCCCTGACACAAGAAAAGATTGCGATATCCTTTTCACGTCCCTAAAAGACAGAAAAATGCAGCCTTTAATCGCACATCAGATGTGTGAGCCATGTAAGATGAAAGTTACCCCTCATTCAAACTTGACTAATACACGTAGCATCTCCTTCCCTTGAATTACTCTAAAGTATAACAATTTATAACTATAATTCAATGATTCAATCCAGGCACTGGTTGTATTCATCTGAGAATGGAATATCTTAAACATGAATCATTTGAAAGCCTTTCAAATATGCACCTTCCCAGGCATCTTGTATTCCATAGTCATCTATTAGAACTATATTCGCAATAATTCTTAGGTTATATTATGAATTAAATAATCTATTGTTAAAATTTTCAAGGCATAGTTAAATAAGTAGTGAGGACTCAATCTCTCCATAAAATCACTGCCTTATTTGTGTGATAAAATTGAGCTGGGTTACCTGGCAACCATCAACAGTACATATGTCCACTACTTTCTCTGCTGACACTCCAAACTCCTCTTCAAAACGTTTTTGCAAGAGCTTTACTTGTTGGCTATAGGGAGAAATTATCGCAAGGTTACCAGACTTCAGCACTGGATATAATGTTACCAGCTTTTGATATAGGAGCAGAACGAATTCAACTTCATTGGAGTTAACCCATGAACCACTTCCAGCTGGCCGGGCCTCTTGTCCCTCGTGTATATCAAAGAAGCAAAATGGGCCAAAGCAACAGTACTCATGCCAGTCTCGTTCTGTCCGGAATTTGACATCTTCCCCATCTTCCAGTGAATCTTCATAGAACTCTCTAGAAGGAAAGCTTCTAATCTGTTGCGAGTCACACATCAGAATACTTGTCACATAAATTATCATAAATAATAAGATGCAGGATAACTGTATACAAATCCGCAGATGAAATCCTGGAAACTCAAGTTCAACTCCGCTATAATTTCTATTATTTGCATAATTTATAGGGCGGATATAAGGATGGGTATTAGAATAGAAGATATCCCCTAGACAACAACAAAAGGGAAAAAAATTGAGGGCCAAAAAAGCCAGCAGCAATTCAATCTCACTGGCCATATGAAATAGGGGATCCGTTGAAACCTGATAACTGATTGTTCCAACAATAAATTACAGCAAGACTTCACTCTTACTGTTTGAAAGGAAGGAGGTAGGTGAGATATCTTCCTGACAACTCTGGCTTGGAATTTGTTTTCAGATGGCCATTATATCAAGCTCAAGTATTCATTCACACATGAACTGTAAGATCACGTATATTCACAGTCCATTTTCTGAATATGCCGTTAATGTACTGACCTCAGGATGCATTCGGTATTGAGTCTTTAACATTATCACAGGATAGCCAGCCTCTTTCAATCTTTCAACAAGCTTTTTGCCATACCTTTGATTCAAGAAAATAAACGCACAAATTATATGAAGTGAATGTTTTAATCCAAAAAACTAAAATGGATAAAGTTGAGTATCACTATCACTGGGGAAAATAATCCATACCCATGATTCTTTGCTGCCTCTGAAATCACAGTTGCTGGTAGTTGAGCTGGATCTCCGACCTGAAAGGAGTGGAAAACGTAGCCCACAGTCAGGACAGGATGAGGAACAACTATGGTTGAAATGCAACGCTCAGCACTTTTAATTTCTAAAAACTAGTTTTATTTATTTATGTTAATGAATGAAACCGTGAGAAGAAGCGGGAAAAAATACAATATGAAAATAATCCTTCCACTTTATCAGGCACTGTTTTACATATTAATCCTCGAGGTGAATTCTGAATCTCAAACTTAAGCAGCATGTCAAATGTTTTAACAATAAAATATATGAACCAATGAAAACTGAGCATAATTTGAATTATTTTCTTTCAAGCATGATAATTGCAAGTTAAAATACTGATAAAAACATAAAATATAGAGTAGGTTTTTCTAATGCAGCAACAATAAAACGTACCAGAAAAACTTTTTTGCATTGATTGGCCAAGGGAACAAGAGTTGCAGGCTCCACCTATTCAAGGGTAAATGTCATACTTCATACAAGATATAAATATAGAATAACCCATATTCATTTTGTACTTAGGCAGACGAGTTACTTCATGCTAAATATCCCACCCAGTGGTAGCAGAGCAAATTTATCAAGATGACCCTAAGATCTACAGCTGACAAGATTTACATGTGTCAGCCTGCACAGACAATGTTGATACAAATGATAGTAGAAAACAAAACGAAATTAGTTCAACAACACTACACATAATTCAACGTGTTTCAT